GGGTTTTTATCACGAAGGGATGCTGGTTTTTATCAAGTGCTTTTTCTGTCTCTTTTGAAATTATCATAAGATTTTTGTTTTTAATTCTGTTTATGTCATGAATCACATTTATTGACTTGCATGTGTAGGGACCCCCTTACATTCCTGGGATAAAACCCACTTACTTGGTCATGGTGTATATTTTTTTATGTGCTGTTGAATTCAGGTTGCTAATATTTTGTTGAAGATTTTTACATTTATGTTCCTATGGGATAGTAGTCTGTAGTTTTTTTGTTGTTGTGTCTTATCCTGGCAATGGTATCAGTGATACTGGCTTGTTCAATGAGTTGGAGGATGCCTTCCTCTTCAGTCTTGTGGAATAACTTCAGTAAAATTGGTACCAGTTCTTCCTTGGAGGTTTGGTAGAATTCAGCTGTTAGTCCATCGGATCCTGGAACTCTTTTTTGTTGGGAGACTTCTAATTGCTATTTCAATCTTGCTACTCATGATTGGTCTGTTCAAGGTTTCTGTTTTTTTCCTGATTCAAGGCTGGGATGTTGTGTCTCCAAGAATGTATCCATGTCCTCTAGGTTATCTAGTTTGTTTGCATAGAGGTGTTCACAATAGTCTTGGATTATCTTTTGAATTTTTGTCATATTGGTTGTAATGTGTCCATTTTCTTTTCTGATTGAGCTAAGTTGAGTCTTTTTTTTTTTTTTTTTTTTTTTTTTTTGAGTTGGAGTTTCACTCTGTCACCCAGGCTGGAGTGCAGTGGCATGCTCACGGCCACCACAGCCTCTACCTGCTGGGCTCTGGTAATCCTTCCACCTCAGCCCTCCAAGTAGCCAGAGCTATAGGCACATGCTACCGTGCCCAGCTAATTTTTGATTTATTGCAGAGACAAGGTCTCACCAAGTTGCCTAGGCTGGCCTCGAACCCGCAGGCTTAGGCAATCCACTCGCCTCAGCCTCCCAAAGAGCGGGATTACAGGCTGAGCCACCGGGCCATGTCTCTTTCTTAGTTGTCAATTTTTTTTTAACTTTTCAATGAACCAGCTTTTTGTTTAATTGATCCTTTATATTTGTTGTTTCAGTTTCATTTAGTTCTGCTCTGATCTTCATTGTTTCTTTTCCTCTGCTAGCTTTGAGTTTGGTCTGTTCATGTTATTCTAGTCTTTGAAGTGTGATGTTAGGTTGTTGATATGTGTGGTCTTTCAGTTTTATGAATATAGGCCTTATGTGCTATAAATTTCCTTTGAACACAGCTTTGGTTGTGTCCCAGAGGTTTTGATAACTTGTTTCATTGTTGTCATTTGTTTCAAGGAATTTGAAAATTTCTATTTTGATTTCTTTGTTGACCCAAGGATCATTCAGGAGTAAATTGTTTAGCTTCCATGTTTCTGTTTGGTTTTCTGAGTTCTTCTTAGAGTTAATTTCCAGTTTTAGTCCACTGTATTCTGAGAAGGTGCTTGATATAATTTCAGTTTTTTAAAACTTATGGAGACTTGATTTATGGCATATCATATGGTCTGTCTTGGAGAATGTTCCGTGTGCTGATGAGAAAAAAATGTATATTCTGCAGTTTTGGGGTAGAATGTTCTTTAGGTATCTTTTAGTTCCATTTTCTCTGGAGTCCAGTTTAACACCGATGTTTGTTTGTTGATTTTCTGCCTTGATGATCTGTCTATTGCTATCAGTGGAGTGTTGAAGTCTCCCACTATTGTATTGCTGTCTATTTCTTTTTTTTAGGTCTAGTAGAATTTGTTTTATTAAGCTGCAGCCTTTGGCATTAGGTGCACATATGTTTAAATCTGTTATGTCTTCTCATTAGATTAATTCTTTTTTCATTATATATACCCATCTTTGTCTTTTTTTTAAACTGTTTTTAGTTTGAAATGTGTTTTATCTAAGAATGGCTACTCTTGCTATTTTGATTTACATTTGCATGGAATATCCCCCCCCCTCCCCCGCCACTGAGTGTAGGAGTTCTTGTAGGGTTTACATGGGTCTCTTGAAGGTAGCAGATATTTGGGTTTGTTTTTTTTTTTTTTTACCCATTCTGCCTGTCTGTATCTTTTTAGTGGGGCATTGAGACCATTTACGTTCAGAGTTAATAGTGATATATAAGGTACTATTCCATTCATCATACTGATTGCTTGATTGATTGTTTGATTGTTGGACTCTTACTCTGTTACCCAGGCTGGAGTGCAGTGGCACACTCACGACCACTGTAGACTCGACCTGCTGGGCTCAGGTGATCCTTCCAACTCAGCCTTCTAAGTAGCTGGAACTACAAGCACACACCACCACACCTGGCTAATTTTTTGATTTATTGTAGAGATGAGGTCTCATCAAGTTGCCTAGGCTGGTCTTGAACTCATGGGCTCAGGCAATCCTCTCACCTCAGCCTCCCAAAGTGCTGGGATTATAGGTGTGAGCTACCATACCTGACCTGCTTTATATATTTATTTTCTCTATTGTATTGATGTTCCATGAGGCCTGTGAACTTTATGATTTCCAGCCTTCTTCTACTGGTGTATTTTGACCATTTATTTCAATATTTAGAACTCCTTTGAGTATTTCTTGTAGAACCAGTCTAGTGGTGACACATTCCTTCAGTATTTGTGTTTGTGAAGGGACTTCATTTAACCTCTATTTATGAAACTTAGTTTTGCAGAATACAAAATTCTTGACTGACTGCTATTCTGTTTGAGAAGATTGAAGATGGGACCCCACTCCCTTCTGAGAAGTCTGCTGTCAGTCTGATAGGTTTACCTTTGTAAGTTATTTGATGCTTTTGTCTCACTTCTCTTAAAATTATTTCCTTCACGTTAACTTTGCGTAACCTTTTATGTGCCTTGGGGATGACCTTTTTGCAGTGAATCTTCTGGGGGTTCTTTGGGCTTCTTGTATCTGGCTGTTTAAGTCTCTGGCAAGGCCAGAAAATTCCTTTAATATTCCCTCAAATAAGTTTTTTAAACCTGTTGCTTTCTCTTCTTCCTCAGGAACACCTATGATTCTCAGGTTTGGGCATTTTACATAATCCCACATTTCTTGGAGACTTTGTTCCGTTCTCTTCTTTCTTCTTTATTGTTGTCTGATTGAGTTAATTCAAAGGCTTTGTCTTCAAGTTCTGAGATTCTTTTTTCTGCTTGTTGTAGTCTACTGTTAAAACTTTCTTCTGTGCTTTGTACTTATCTAAATGCTTCTTTCATTTCCAGAATTTCATCTATTTTTTTTAAAGGCATCTATCTCCTTGGAGAATTTTTCATTCATGTTCTAAATAGTTGTTTTTTAATTTCTTTGTGTTGGTTTTCAGTTTTCTTTTGAAGTTCATTGATCTATTTTATAATCAACCTTTTGATTTTATGTCTGGAAATTCAAACATTTCATTTTGGTTAGGGTTCATTGCTGAAGAGTTGGTGTGGTCTTTTGGGGGTGTTGAAGAACTCTGATTTTTTTCATATTTTCAGAATTATTCTTCTCATTTGGGCAGACTATATTTCTTATTTGAGGTTGGCATGGGACTGGTGTAGGTTTGTATATAGCCTCAGTGTGGTGAGTTTCTGTGATGGTCCTATGCTGTATACCTGCGCTGGTTCACAGAGTCCTGAGTGGCTGGAGTGACTTGGAAAGTGTTGTTAGCTGGTGTTTGGGGCCAGAGCTTCCCCAAAGCTGAAGCGCTCCATCGGTGTGGCGGGCTGTACTGTCGACCTCCGGCCAGGAGGTGGCGCTTGTGGGAGAAAGCTGGCTGTGATGGCGGCTGTGGGGCTTCTTGGCGAGTGTCGCTCCAAGGAAGTGCCCAACTCACCTGGGCCAAGGGCGGGGTCAGGATTTCCCAGCTCTCTGCGTGTTTTGAGCCTTCGAGGGGAGTGCAGAGGAAAGGAGCTGAAGAACCCCACGAGTGTGCACTCTTGACTGCCCGAGGGGATTAGGAGAAAACCCCAGGCCAGTGGGGGGCGCTGTTGTCCTGGGCGGGCACAGTGAAGGGGCGTTCCCTCCCAAACCAGCTGGATTCCAGCTAGCTCCACCCTGCAAGGCTTGAGTTCCGGAAATGATGGCTGGCACTGCTCAAGGCTTTCTTTTTCCTGCACGGCAGAGCACTTTGGGCAGAGCACAGCTGTGGGGAAGGCAGTTTCCCATGAGGGACTGGGGTCCCACAAGGCTCAGGGACCATGCAAGTTCGCAGCAGGCGCACAGAACTCCCGAACTGCCCTCGCCTTCTCCACTGCATCTGGAGGCTCTGGTGGGCTGTGGTGGTGCACGCGAGAGTCAGGTCAATGGATTTTTTTCTTCTTCTTTGCACTAAATGGTTACCAGCACTCCTTTGGAGAGTCACGGAGCATGCGGCTGGTCCCATTCCTCTCTGGATGCTGAGGAAACTCTATCTTGGTTTACTCTGTGGGAGAAATTCACTCTGATTGCCTCATGTCAGCCATTTTAAGCCTATCCTCTGGGTTTTTAATAGAAAAGCATATGAAGAGTGAGCCCCAAAGCAATTTAGACAAAAATACATTCATACACCACTTAACAACAGAAATACATTCTGAAAAATGCATTGTTAGGCGATTTTGTCATGGGAACATCATAGAGTCTAGCAAACGCAGGTGATACAGCCAAGGACACACCTAGGCTCTGCGGGATAGCCTTTTGCTCCTAGGCTTCAAACCTGTACGCCACTGACTGTGCTGAGTACTGTAGGCAACTATAACACAGTGATCAGTGTCTGTGTATCTAAACATATCTGAATATGGAAAAAATATAGCAGACATACGCTATTGTAATCTTATGAGACTACAGTCATATCTGTGGTATGTCATTGAAATGTTATGCAGCAAATGATCATATTTAAATAATTTCTGCCATTTACCTTCTAATAATAAAGAATGAACTGTAAAGGACATTTTCAGACATGAATAAGTTGGGGAGTTAGAAATGTGTTGCTTGGCTAGTCTTTTACTTATTTTTAAACTTTTCAGATTAACATCAAATAACCCACCTGCTCTTTTTCTTTTTTTGGAGGGCTGCATCACTTGCAAAAGCAAAGATTCAGTTGATCCTGCTACAGAGTTCTGTGGTCATGATCCAGCGGAGGATGGCAGTTGAGTGACGATGGAGATGTTCCTTCACACCCTTCCAAAGACATGTTAGACAAATAGACCTTTAAGTTTATCTCTTTGAAACCCAGACTCTTAAATGAACATGAAATTATTATTGAATGTTACAGTTTCCCTTCTTGATTTTTTTGATAAACATAATATTTCTGAAACAGAAATATTTTTCTGTTTTATGGTGTATTAAAACTATCAGTTAGGCTCTTTGTTTAGTTTAGCTGCCTTCTAAAGAGATTGGATGGCCTCTAAAGAGGTACAGCAGAATTTTATTTCAGTTGTCACCCAAAATGAATTATAATTAGAAGTATAGCTAGAAAGGACCCCAAACTTTAGTCTCATTTATGTTGTTCTATTGCTACATAAAGAGCTTTTCCTATTAGAGTACTTGGAAAAAATCCCACCTACAGATTATGTACTTTTCATAATGATTTGCATACATTTAATACATTCATGTAAGCTTTGTACAGCTTGGTGCTTCTCTTCCATAATTAAGGTAAAACATTTCAATTTTGTCATGACATTAAAACATATTGTTTATTAGCATATCTAGAAATACCTAGTTTTGGGGGTTGAATTTTGACCTTCATTCTTATAGATGCCTTTCCTTTTGATTTCCATCTTCCACTGAAATTCTGAAAGTCTTGTCTTAAAAGTTGATCAGTTTATGATGGGCTTATTCTTTGAAGAAGTTTAAATTTGTATTTGCATGTATAATATGAAAACAAAAGAGCTTCTTACTCAACCCACAAAACTATAACAGTTAACTTTTCCTTACCAATCAATTTACACAGAAGAGGTCTCTCCATCCCTACTAGATTGGCCCTGCTTCTGTTTGCTCTTGAGCAGGGTAAGTGTTGCAGGAACAGCACAGGGAGAAAACAGGCCAGAGTTTAAGCCCTTGTCTGGGCAGCCCATGCCTTTGGGCCACAGAGTCTCCAGAAGCCAGTGCTGTCCCTGCCGTTCATAGTCATGTCTTCTGAGAAGTGAGTGTGATTGTTTCACTTGGTAAGTCAGCTCACTCTCTGGTGTTCTTTAGAGAAATTGGCCAGTTCTCAAACTTGGAATGAAAAAAGAAATAGAAGAAAATGATGGTTACAGTAACCTTTTGTCTGTATATAACTTGCAACAAACTAACTTATTTTTGTTTTTTGCTTAGTTTTAGGCAAAATTCTTCTTTCTTCTTTGAAGTTTTATAGCTTGTTATAAAAGGATCCTGATAATGATTAAGAGAATCAACCTTTTTATCTTGATGATTGTTGGGCCCTGATTCTCCAATCCCAGTAGCTGAGGTCTCCTTTCAAAATAATGGCTTTCTGGATGGTAATTCTCCCTTCAGGTGTCAGAACCGTTTTCATATGCTGCCTTCAACGGTTCTCGGGAATTTCTAATATTAGGAGTTCCATGCAAATATGCCTGTTTTGTAAATAGAGAACCCTCATATTCTACTTTAACTTGATAGTTAAGTGAGTTCTGAAGCCTTAGTATATGTGTGGGTCAAGTTGTGTGGTATTTTCACTCTCGGTGAAAATCAGATTTTTTTTAAAAATCGGTATATTGTTCATCAGAGACCCTCTGTGGTGATGAAATTTTTGTACTTAGAAATGATATATGTAGCCATCAGGGTCACTCTGCAATGGTGTGTGTGTATTGGAAGCCTTATGTTCTTTAGTAACACAAGCCTTTCTTGTCCATTGTTTCTGGATGTTATCCGGAGTTGCTTATTTGCCTTAGCACACATTTGGCAGAGTTCGCATTATACCAGGGTTGATCTGAAGCTGGTGCTTATCCTAGACAGGTCTGTAAAGCCTCTTGTAGACTCCCGTCTTCTGGTAACTAGATGAGTTAGTGCATCAGAGATGACTCCTGCTGCTGAATGGGAGCCGTGGGGTTCAGCAGGTGACCACCGCCCCCCAAGGGGGCTTCACCCAGTTTAAACCATGTCGCTCAAGTGTATTAACTTTTTGTATTAACGACTATAATAAGTAGTAATAAAAATGTATATTATAGGCGTCAATGTTTATATAAGCATTACTCAAGAAGTGATATTTTCTTGGGTCAAAGGTCAAAATTTATGAAAAACGGGATGCTACATGAATATAATAGTTTTGCAGTTAAGTGAAATCTCATTAAAATTCACAAGATAAATTTAATTCAAATTGAAATTTTGTTTCAACTGAATTTATAATTAACTCTATGAATTTACTTGTTTTTAATCACTAATCTTTAAATAGGGTATCTTTTTTAAGTAAAAACAATAAATAAACTGTGTACATGTAAAACTTGAGAAGTTGTCTTTTACTGTGCCAACAAATCTTTACTCTGAATATGACGTGTATCTTAACTCATTTTAAACTATTTTTGTGATCTGTTGGAGGGTCACCATAGGAGGCTAACCTTGCCTTTCTCAGCCACACTTTGTGTTTGCCTCGCCAGATGGGTCTAAGCTCCTGCTGCAGAAGATGAAGATACAGGCATTTTCAAGCTCACTTGTTTACTTAATCCTCACTTCAGCACTGTGAAGCATTTATTGGGTCCTGAATATATGTATATATGTTTAGTACTTAACCATTTTAGTGCCAAATGTATAAAATTCAGTTATCAGAATTACTCTTACAGGTTGTGCGGGGTGAAAACTGTTTCCCAAAGTCTGGTTGGGTAACTGGTAGCAAAATCTAGAAATTAAAGTATGGAGCAAGGTCCTGAAGCCAGCAGGACTTTTTTTTTTTTTTTTTTTAGAACATTTGTACCTTTCTGTAACAAAAACAGTAGTAACAATAGCAAGAAGAAAAACAGCTGAGTATTGATTGAGTGGATACTGTGGCAAGTACAGATTGAGTGCTTTACAAGAATTAGCTCATTTAACCCTCACACCTGCCCTGTGAATTAAGCGTTGTCACTGCCCTCTTTACAGGGAGGGAAGCTGAGGCAGAGGGACTCAAATAACCTGGGCTAAGTTTTACAGGTGGTATGTGTGGAGGATTTTCCGCCCTCTGTAAGAATGATTGCTTAATATCGCTGAAGCAAGTGGGGATTTTAGAATGATACTACAGTGGAATTCTACTTTGAGGCTCTTTCTGGCGTTATACACATAAAATAGTTCTATGGTGCCAAAGTTCTGTTTCAGAGAACTGGTATTGGTTTAACTTCAACACTGAGAGACACACCACAGTGTTATCATCACTCAGCTTAATGTCAACATGTTTATGAGACTCTGCCTCCATTCTTCAGGTTCAAAACATCTTTCCCTACAGATTGTTGATGTCTTGGGTAAGGTAAGCTGTTTCAAACCTGAACTCTGTAAGAGATCTGTGGTGTTTGTTACAAGACCAGTACAAGTTGTATGTTGCTGTGTGGTGGGTGCATATCTCGTTTCCCCAGGTGTTCCCAGGGTTCTCCTAAACAGTAGCACTCCCACGAGTGTGGGTCTGCGGAGAAACCACACGAAGCTCTTAGGAGTTCACACTGTGTTCTATACGTACATAAACTACATCGTGTAGATGTAGAAACAGAATATAAGTTACTATTTACACACACACGTGGTTTTAAAAATCAATAAACCAGGCTATGCCACAATCCTTATTCTTGCCTCAGCATTCTCTAAGAAATGTGGGTGTTTCTCCCAGTGTAATGAATGTGATCCTTGAATTCACAGAAACAGATCAGCATGAAAAGATTGAAGTTTTCAAGTTCAATACTTCGGTCAGCTGAGAAAGAATTGAAGCACGTGAATTTCCCCCAGCAGAAACTAGGGAGGATTCAGACTGTTCCCCACACTTCATCTTTGGACAGACATCACATCCTTCACTTAGAGAGTTTTCTAAGCTGAGATACTGTTTTGTTTTTGTTACCAACTTAAGTTGCGTTTTTTTAAGTGTTGAGAGGATAGCATAGCTATGATAATACGGTTTTTTAAAATGATGTGCAGTTTAATGATTTTAGCTAACTTTTTTGACTTTTTGTTCTGTTTCTGCTTGGTTCTGTTTGTTAGTTTTACTTCAAAATTTTCAAAGAATCCTGGCAGGATAAATTGAAGGAAAGAAAAGCGGGGGTAAAAAAATTTTTGAATATTTTAAAAAAAGAAAAAGGGTAGATTTTTATGATATGTTTGTAGGGAAAATAACAAACTTGTGATATCTGCAAAAAACATAGAGGATTTATTTTCCAAATAATAATGAACAGGGTATAATCAACCTAGTTTTTTTTTTTTTAATACTGTTTTTAAAACAAACATTTTAATTTTTCAAAATGGGTGTTTCTGAGTTGACTAATAGACATTCATTCCACTTCAGACACAATATTTCCAGAAGCATTCAGAGGGAGTCCCACGTTTCTTGTATTGTTTCCTGGTTCCGGTCAAAAGGTGACTCAGTAAAATGCTAGGATCTTGTCCAGAGAGAGCCTGAAACTAAAACAATCCAAACAACAAAAAAAGACAGATATGAAATCAATGAATTAAGAGTCCTACAAGTAAAAGGAATGTTAAGACAGGACCTATAAAAAGTGTCTGCTCCATTGTCCTCTGGGCTATAAGCTATAACCAGAGTGCTCCAGGGTCAGGTCGCTTTCTGTGCTGACCGGCAAGTGTCCATCCAGCTTCGTTAGCCCTGCTACTGCCGTGAATTTCCCTAAACCCTCATTGACCTGTTTCTGTTAAAATCATAGCAGTACCCGTTCTGTACTTTGCTGTCTTCTGTGCAACATGAATCTTTTATTTGTCTTGAAATTAACATCTTTAAAGGTTGACCCTTTGTTTTTCTAAAATTTCATGAGCATATCCTACTCATCACCTTTACAATTTTAGAGTCATAAATGATCCTTCAGAAGACCGTGAATATCTGAATGACAAGTTTTAATTAGCCACACACAGAAGCCGTTGTCCCCTGCTAGGTAGTCTGTCCCCACTCAGGGCCTCAGCTGGCAGATGCTGTTTCTGGGATTCAGTGTCTCCAGAGTGTCTTTTTTGCTAGGATGGGAATAGGCAGTAACCCAAAAAAAGGGTGTCTCTGGTCAAAATGGGAAATGTTTGGCTAAATTTACATAGGTTTATTTTATGATTTTCTGGGAGGCCTTCAGGTGCTCATGTATACAGAGTACTCAGGACAAAGAAAGGTATGCCCAGAAGACCTTGCAGGAAAGTTTTCTAGGAGTTGTTGATGATGAAATACGGATTTTTCTTTTAACATTTAAGGTCCTATGTTAATTGTATACCATTTCTAACTATTTGATTTTGTCATTGATTATTCCATATCACAATCTTTTCTATTAAACCCAAAATAATCTTTTTTTTTTTGAGTTGGAGTCTCACTGTCACCCAGACTGGAGTGCAGTGGCCGCTCTCGGCCACCGTAGCCTCAACCTGCTGGGCTCCAGTGTTCTTTCTGCCCCAGCCTTCCAAGTAGCTGGAACTACAGGCGTGCGGTACCACGCCTGGCTAATTTTTTGATTTATTGTAGAGATGAGGTCTCGCCAAGTTGCCCAGTCTGGTCTCGAACCTACAGGCTCAGGCAATCCACGCACCTCAGCCTCCCAAAGCGCTGGATTACAGGCTGAGCCACCGAGCCAGGCTCCAAAATAATCTTATAGAAATTCTGCTGCCTACATACTTCATCTTGATGTTTTAAGCATGTCATTCTCTAGGTAGATATTATGTTGCCATGCTTTTCACACTTGAGTGTGCATGGGAATCACCTGCAGATCTTGTTAAGCGGCAGACTGGATTCAGTGGGTCCTAGGTGGGATCTGAGATGGTGCATTTCCCACAAGGCTCCAAATGACTCCAGTGTTCCTGGTCCCTGAGCTGCATGTTAAGACATGAGACAGCACAAGTGGCTGACAAACTTGAGGGCAGGAAACTGATCTTTTTTTATTCTCTTACAACTTATAATTTACCCGAAACGCACTGAATAAGTTATTGTTGCATTCAGATAGCTTATTTGGAAAAATGAATGCTTTGAAATAACACTGGCCAGGTGTTTTAAGATGTGGTTTCCACCAAGAACACGTAAATTTAGGCTTATATAAAATCAGTATAGGATGTTCATCTTTTTAAACCTAACTCCCATAAATAGAGTCACTTACCTTTCTCACATTTCTTCTTGGGTTAAAAATGTTGGCACTAGGATCTGAAAAACAATTTTGAAACCAATTCATCAGACATTTCTATTGTGTGCCTGTGTTAAGTCATACAAAATAGCATATTATTAAATTACGTCTAGCTTCTGGTCTTTTTCACACTGCTGCAATATTTACTTGAATGCAGACAGTCTTCTCTGGTTCTTATCACAACTTTCACAGAATCGCTGCATAGTGCTTGATAACTTGGCAGGTCAGTAGTTTATCAAAAACCTTATAACAAGTGAACTCCTGTCTACTAAACAATGCCTGTTAAGAGGTTCCATGTTCCAGGACACCCTGCGTGTTGGTGTCCACACATGGAGGAACATAGTCATGGGGAGTGAGCCACCATGTATTGACTGCTTTCTGTGTGACTCTCATCGCGAAATTGCACTTACTCATTGACTCTTCACAAAAAACCCTGTGAGGTGGACACCTTTATCTTCCTACTGATTAAGAAACTGAGGTACAGAGGAAAGTAACTTGTTTAAGATTTTAGTAAGTGGAAAATCAGGATTTTAAGTTGCAGTCATTGGAAACGACTCATTACCACCAGCCCCCACCAAAATAAAAGTCCATAAGGGACGATGCAATGCTGAGGTACTAAGTAGAGTGGGGATGCTTGTAAGGAGTTGCTGGGCGAGAAGACAGGTCACAGAGGCCAGAAGGAGAGGGTGGGTAACTAATGTGTGTAGCTCATCTTTGTATTCCAAAATAGGGCTTTGCCTCGTCTAGTCGATGAAGATAGACTAGAGTTGAGAAGCAGTGAATTGAGAAGCAGTGGATTCAGCAGCCTGCACCTGAGTCTCTTTACCTGCTCTCCCGAGAATGATGCCCCTCTCTGCACCCAGCATCTCTCGCAGCGTCTGCAGAAGGGAAGTTCTTTCCAGTTCCTCCAGCCCCAGCCTCGCGTCCTCATCAGGGGCTGTGGAGTGAAAGCAGATACTTGTCATTCAGCCCATCAGGTACCAGGGACAGGGAGATGAGGACCTGAGACATTCAGATGCCAAGTTCGTGATGTGTTGGTGGCGGCTTCTCACAGAAAAGGAGACGCGTGGGCCAGTCTGCACACCCGGCCCAGCAGGCAGGAGGCTGGGTGTGTGCCAAGTCAGACTGCTGGGGACTTGGGGCAGGGCTGACTCCAGTTCTCTAGACACTATCTTGCGTCAAAAAGCCTGACTCGGCCCCATTTCTGTTGATCTGCTGCTGCCTGTTGCCTTTTGCTCTTAGAGATCTGGGTGGGGATACTGGAGTGAGAAGAAAAATAAAGGGAAGATTGTTTCTGCTCTTCTTATAAGACAAACGGGATGGCATCATCTCTTATTACAGCAGCCTTCAAGATTTAGGTGCAAGTATTACCAAACTTAGAAATGAATCGGCTTCCAAGTAACCCGTAAGGAACTGAACTGTGGCATTCCCAGTGTGAGATGTAGTGGCCTGATGGCACATAAGACACATGAGGCACATGGCAAGTGCATGTGAGGTGTGGCCCGGGCAGACCTGGCGGTGGGACAGGCCCCGGCAGGTCAGGGCTGAAGCGGTGGGGGCCGGGACTGAAATGCTGCAGGCTTACGAGCCGCTGCGACCTTGACTGGAGGATATCTGAGCACATTCACAGGCTTTCTGAAGAGCAGTTATGAACATCTATAAAATGTGATCGTATATAAATGCCTAGGTCATGCAGCCTTACAAATGAGAAAAAAATTCTGGCACAAATTCTAAGGTAAGCTGCCTCTTCAGAATTTGAGTGAGATGCTACACTCATCTCGACTAAATTTATTTTAATTGCAATAATCATAGGTAAATGTTGGAAGATGACAATAATATCTGAATATTCTTGATTTCACCCTGTAATTTTCGCTGTTGCTTTTTAAATAGCAGAGATTTAGCAAAGTGAATGCCTATCTTTGCCCGTTAAAATGACAGCCCGTGAGCCCAGTGACATCGGCAGTTGGTGGGTAGGGCATGAGGACCAAACCTCCAGGAAGCTGCTCAGGATAAGATTTCAGAGACTGGGAGTTATAAAATCAATGACTTAGGAGAGTTTTTTTTTTTCTCTTCATTTAAAAAAGTCTGAAAAAGTGCCCAAAGCCAAAGACAAGTTTAAATCTAATTAAACTTTCTATGGAGCTACCCAAGCATCAACCTTTTCATTTCTTAAATTACGTGGCCATAGCAAAATACATATGCACTTGGCTGACACAGCCTTAAAATTCAACTTAGACTTAAGCTTTATGATCATGAATCAAAAGGAAAAGATAAATATACTTGAGAATCTAGGACATCCTAGCTCCAATTCTCACTTTATTTCTTAATAAACATTTTTGTTTCATATAATACATGCCAGATGATTACTTTTTAACTTAATAAGGTAAGATCAATACATCATTAAGTAGGACAACCAATTCAACATGCAACCAGTTCATTTAAAATTCAAACTAAAAGTAATGATGCTTCAAATGTAGTGTATTTTTTTTAATTGGGAAAACATTACCCACAACAAAAGTTTGAACTACAAGAAACAAGCAGTTCTGCTCTTCAGCGTTCACATTTTAGAAAGAAAAAAAACTGTCCATTACTAAACCAGAGATGTGCAGTAAAGACCCTCTGATCTTTGCAAAGCTGGAACTATTGATATAACAGGACTCCCTTGAGCAAGGATCTCATTCTTGTCTCTAGCATTGCACTTAAGACTGATGAAGACTCCTCAGGACTAACCTAAGGAAACAAACCACCTTACCTGAGAGCTGAAGGGCCAGTTCCCTGGAGTCCATGAGAGGAAGAGACAGGAGAGGAGTCAGGAACCCTATAAAGAGCAAGCAGCAGGAGGCCAGCTTGTACATGACTGTGAAGACTGCCAGCTTCCTTCCTGGCCTCTGTTGTGGAGACTGTCAACTCGCTCCTTTTCATCCTGTGGTCATTGATTATATATATCATCCTATGACCTCATATCATCCTTTCCAAAAAAAAGTTATTGGCTATAGAGGCTGAAAGGCAATCACTTTGTATTGATGTAATTTTTCAGGGTAGCGATTCATAGACAATAAATTTACTGTCTTGTTGCCTAGTGGGCAAAGTAGGTATTATATAAAGAACAGTTAAGTTTATAAATCTGGCAAAAGGAGTAACTTACAGCAATAAATCATGAGTTAAAGGAAGGGTCAGGTACGAGTTGAAATGACCAAGGCAGAGAGACGAGGATTTATGAGTCCCAGCAGAAGTGACGCAAAGCATGACATGAAATATGTCCACTTTTTCTCATCTTTCCTGAGTGAATGGATGAGTTGTCATGTTGTGTTTGGGGCTGCCATGGCTGAAGAATGACAATCTGTGAATTAAAACTGAAAAACAGTCATTTTCTTTAAAGTAGTGAAAAGTTCAAATACATAGCAAACATTGCTGGAGGCTCGAGACACGTTCAGGCCATACACTCGGCCTTATGTCAAACCGCAAGCACTCACGTCTTCAGAGAAAGGAAAGAACTTTCTGCAGAGGCGGGTATTGCTCAAGGAGGAAAGGAGTACTTGCCCCGAAAACCTCGCTGGAAAGTATTTCCCCGTGTGGCCTGTCCTCACCACCTGCGCTCTACCAGCCTGGCCCAGGCCTGGGTGAGGGTGGTGGTCTCCTAGCTGGTGTCCTCTGGGCTGCGTTGTGTCCCACCACAGTCCCATCTCAGCACAGAAAAGTGACCATTTTGGCACATAAGTCAGATCATGTCAACTCCTTGCTTGGAACCTTCTGTTGCCCTTACAGCAATAGAACTACTAGGTTAAAAAAAAAAAATGAACCCGGGATCAGTGGTTTAGTCTGTAATCCCAGCACTTTGAGGGACTTAGGCAAGTGGATTGTTTGAGCCCACGAGTTTGAGACCTGCCTGGGCAACTTGGCGAGACCTCGTCTCTACAATAAGTAAAAAATTAGCTGGGTGTGGTAGCACGCCTGTAGTTCCAGCTGCTTGGAAGGCTAAGACGGAAGGATTCCTGGAGCCCAGCAGGTCGACGCTGGGGTGCCCATGAGCAACAGAGTGAGACTCTAACTTTAAAAAAGCCCCTGTACAGCCAAGCTCGGTGGCTCAGCCTGTAATCCCGTGCCTTGGGAGGCTGAGGTGAGTGGAT